ATTCTTAGATCCACAGGTGCCAGATGGCCTTTCTTCCCACTGCAAGCAGGGTCCCACGGTGCCGATCCCACGGTGTTTCACTGGCCAACGAGCCACGAGGCACATTTCTGCTTTTTGCCGATCTTCGCCGCCAGGAATGGATCGACGAGCTTGGCTTTTGCGAGGCAACAATGAGAACGGGAGGTGTTCCTACATGAACTCGAAGGGAATTCCGACGATCTTAAAACGGAACCTCTCAAAGACCAAAAGCATAGACCATCATAGACCTATAAAGACTACTGAAACTCAAGCTGCGCTGGAGCACGAGGCTCTTTCCGTCCGCTCTCCGAAAGCTTGGCAGGGAAACGAGGCTGCCTACGACTCTCAGGCGCCTGCCGTTGGCTTTCGGGGCCATCCGAGTCACCACCTCAAACCACTTGACCAAAGCAGATCACCAGCTGAGATCTTCGTTTTCGGGTCATACTGGGTCATATATGCTGGTTGTTTCACGTTCCAAGATTGCCTTCTTGGCCTCACTGAGTCATTCGCCCTTTTTTGAGGTTCTTGTATGTTCGTGACTCTGTGTAGCATCTCATGCACTGGTCATTGACTCTGTGGGTCTTCGGACCTTGGAATCTGTATGTTCCTGTTTCCTTGCAGCTCTTTGTGGGCATTTCCGGCCGCCCCCTGCGGAGACATGATGAGAGGGCCGCCCCCTTAAGGGAGAGCATAGAGAGGGGCAGCAGCTAAGGTAGTAGTGATGCACCTGTTGTTCCGACACCGAAAGAACGGGTGGTATGAGTCCAAGATATCATGTTTTGTTTGTGATGATATCCAACCTTATGTTTAGAAATCTCCAGGTCCTAGACTGCCACAGCATATAACTCTGTGCTTGTGCTCTTCAAGTATGTTCAAGTGCATTGTGTATCGTTTTAATGCTATTTTTGGTGCATCGGGATTCGCAGGGCTAGGCGTTGACCGCTGTCGTTTTCGCAAAAAAACATCGTCGACTCACCAGTCCCCAGTCGAGTCCCAGTCGTTTGGCTCGTTTTGGTGGCAAAACACAGGCCCTCTCCCCTTGTTCATCCCATCTTTGAGCTCACCATGTCTACCAAGTCTTGCACTCTGCTGTGCGGCCAGATTGGTCCAATGCGAGTCGGAGTT